ACCTGGTAAGCAACATTGGAAAGCAGTTAAGTGGATCTTTCGGTACTTAAAGGGTATGGTAGGACATGGAATTGTTTTTGGTAGTCAGCGGGATAATCCCTTGGTTGTAGGATATGTGGATTCAGACTATGCGAGTGACTTGGATAATAGAAGATCTACGACAGTGTATGTCTTTACTCTTGATGGAGGGCCTATTTTTTGGAAGTCTACTGTTCAATCTGTTGTGGCATTATCTACAACTGAAGCTAAATACATGGCAGCGACTGAAGCTGCAAAAAAAGCTTTATGGCTTACTGATTTAGTGAAGGAGTTGGGTGTTCAACAAGGTGGAGTTCAGTTACTTTGTGACAATCAAAGTACTATTCACTTGGCTAAGAATCAGGTATATCGTGATAGAACTAAGCATATTGATGTAAGGTTTCACAAGATCAGAGAGTTGGTTGTATCAGGAGAGATTTTGTTACATAAGGTACATACTGATGAGAATGTCGCTGATATGTTCACCAAGCCAGTTACGACAGACAAGTTCATGCATTGTTTGGACTTGTTGAGTGTTTCGAGTTGTTAAAGAAGTAAGGTAATCCAACCCACACTGAATATTTCCTAAGGGGCATGATATTCTCCAATGTGGAGATTTGTTAGGTATGACTCATAAATATACCGAGAAAATCTCGTAGTGGGGGTTACGATTATGTGGGTTAGGGGTGCGGGGGTTGCGGTCCCGCGATATGGTACAAGGTTATTTTTGTAAACATGTATCAGGGTTTATTTATTATAAAAGGAGATGTAACCTAAACCTATGAGATATTGAATGAAAAACTAGCGCCGCTTAAGGCACCGATCACATTGCTAAACCTAGTTAAAATTCTAGTGTTCTTTCTATTTTCTTTACCCGATTATATTCAACAAAAAATTATCCCAAAGTACTCGGCATTCAAACCAGAGAAACATTTCGTAACACTTATTTCCGTTCATTCACAAAAACTCGGAAACCAAACTCTTTTTTTATGTTTACAGTTTAAGAGTGACTCGTAAAAATATAAGTGAAAATTAACGAGCAAAGATTTAAATTTCTCTACCAACAAAAGGCTTTGACACGGTTGATTAAAAAGTCCTATCTTATGATTTTGAATATCTAAACTCTATTTCTTAATATTTTTAATTAAAAAAATCTGAACTCGTATAAAAATTAAATAATCTCAATAATTAAAGAGATAATTGTTATTTTAAAAAAATTCAAGTCTGAAACAATTAACATTCAAATATCTCTGATGATATGTTCAAATCTAAAATTTTAAAGAATAATATTTATCTCTTTAATTATTGAAGTTGTTTAATTCGATGGATTGTTTTTTCTACCTTCCAACTTCAAAAGTTTAAACTTGTCTACGAGACTACGAGTCTTTTGTTTATTAATGGCCTCCTGGTTTGACCGCTATCAAGTGCGTATATGATTTTGTTCGGTTTGAGTGCTTTTTAATAGTTTATTAATTTTTAATTTAGTTAATTTTGATTGTCATTGTCAGTTTTTTTATTAGCTTTTATATTTTATTTTAATAAAATAAAACGTTCGAAAAATACAATTTAATTCAGTTTTTAATTAATCAATTTTTTTGTTCAATTATATCGCAGTGTTGAATTAAACTCTTTAGATAATAAATAAATAAATAATCGAGACAATAGATCTATTAACAGTTACATAAAAGAAATTTGTTTTTTTTCGTTGAGTACAGGTAAATGAGGTCAGCCCAGCTGCCCGTTATATTAGCTAATAATAACCCTCTGCTTCCTTTGGGGGATTTTGTAGAAATACAAAATCCTCATGTCGATTCCACATCTATTTAGCAACGAGATCAACAACGCCATTGGCATCTCTTGATATATATTTCAGATCAACCACCCAATTCATCCTTAATAGCTTCTCAATGTGCTGTAGAATCGTTAACTTTATTTGTTCAACCGATCTATTCTTGATAAGGTTAACAACCTCCTTATTGTCTGATTCCAGCGTCACATTTCTTTCCCTAATCATCCAAGCTACTTTTAAACCCTCATGAATACCCCCACAATTCTGCTTCCAGAACAGTGCAAATTCCTATTTTTTTGCCAAATCCCCAACGCCTGACTCCATTGTGGTCCCTTGCAACCACTCCACACGTTGCTTTTCCTGTGTTATGTTGTTTGGTTCCATCGGTGTTAATCTTATAACAATTGATTCCAGGTTTCTTCCATTTGGTCCGGATATTATTCCTAGTGTGAGAGATACCAGAGAGTGTTGTTTCAGAGTCCAGAATCTTCTGAGTTATACGAAGAGCTTGTTGGATAATTGATTCTCTTTCAACCATTTCTGGGTCAAAGATAGTCTGGTTTCTTCTCTTCCAAATATACCAGATTGTTGGGCTGAAGAAGGTAAGCCAGTTTTCAACTCTTGAAGATGGGGACTAGGTTAGTTCAAGGTTCTCGAGGATCCAATTATCGATATTGTTGCTTAGGAATTGCTCCATTTTTCCCGATTCTAGCAGATCCGCCCAAATCAATAAGGTTGTAGGGCAAAATCTCAACGCATGGTTTATGTCTTCAGTCTCGTATCCGCACATATGACAGCTTTCGTCAACCGTCATGTGTCTGCTTGCTTTTTCTGAATTGGTCAATATTTTTCTTCCAATAAGCCATAAAAATGATTTAACCTTGGGAAGGTTTTTGTGCTTGGCAATGGTGCACCATAACTTCTCTTCCACTGTACTGTTATTATTTACAATCAAATTGTATGCAGATTTGACTGAGAATACCCTTTTCTCCGAGGGGATCCAGCCCGGGGAGTCCGAAAGGTTCTCCTCCACTGGAGGTGGTGTGGCTTCAGCATGCTAATAACCTGTGCCGAGAGTAACGTTGTTAACTTATTCCAATACCAAGTTACACTCTGATTAACCATATCCTTGACTTTAGACTTGTCATTTTCCACTTCCATTGGCTGATTACAAAGCCTGGATAGAGCTCCCGTATTGTCTAACTATATGTCGTGCCAGAATTCCACATGGTTCCCATTGACAATATTCCAGCATATATTCTTCTTAAACTTGGGCCATAAAGAGCAAATGTGGTTCCATAATTGAGATCCTCCCCTTTTTTCCAACTCTTCAGGTAGTATCTCTTTCATTTTGTATTTGCTTCGCATCACCTGCACCCACAGAAATCGGTTCTATTAGTAAGTTTGTAGGCTAGTTTAAAGAGGAAAGCCTCATTTTGGAACCTTAAGTGTTTTAAGCCTTGTCCCTTAAGTGTTTTATGCCTTGTCTCCCTCCTTTGATAGAATTATAGAGCACATCCTAGCACACAAGGTGAACTCCCATAAAAAAAAAAAATTGTTTAGTGCAATGATAATTGGCCCACTATCTTCTATCGTATATAAATATATTTTTTTCTTTTCTTTTTGGCCTTATTATTGCATGTCTATATTTTATCCTATCTTAGACTTGGTCAAGGAACATATGATTATACATGTATATAAGAAGTGGTTTTAAATAGGTAAATTAAGTGTTTAGTACCTAACTATCATTTTTATTTATTTTAGTACTTAAACTTTTAATTTTTTTAAAATCATACCTAAAGTTTAGTTTTTTGTTTCATTTTAGTATCATGTTCAAAATTTAACGTTGAGTCCTGAAAAAAATAAAAACTTTAGGCAATAAAACAAATCGGAACAAATCAAATGCTTATTAATGGTTGTCAAGGATCCAACTCAGCAGATAACTGTCTAACTATGTTTTCTTTCACGCCTATTAACGGTTGTTAAAATTGATTAACCATTTTGTAACAAACGATAATGTTAGTGGCCGATTTATAACTTTTTAAACATCAGTAGGAAAAACAAACATTTACCCTAACATTAGTGACCATTGGCATAGTTTACCTTATTTAAATGATAATCCCAATTAAATGTAACGTATAATTGAGCTCACATGTTCTATCAGACTATCACCACCCACTTTTTTCTTATTTCAAACATATTTTAATGACTTTTGGCTGTTAGCTTTAGGTATTCTTCTATACACTTAGCTAGTTAGCTTGGACTTGTTGAACATCAAATAAACAAATAAATACTCACTTGTCCAAGATATAACGGTCATATATTTAAGGTAAATTACATTTCAGGTCTCTCAATTATTAGTTTGGTTATATATAGTTCATAACTTTTTTAAAATTTATAATTTAATCAGTCAATTAAAATAGTGTTACAAGTCACTATATTGTTAAAATTGAGTCAAAATATTTAAGTTGTCAGTATGATAACAGTTTTAGTCGCTCAATTATTAGTTTATTTTAAAATAAAAAGGAAAAGTGAAACCTTTAAAAAATATGAACTTACTAAAAAATGCGTAATAATATGAAACGTTGATTTTTCTAATAGAAAATCATGTGGCAGTAACAACTAAAACCTGGATGTTTCTCATAAAAGATTTTAAATAGATTTCAATAAGTATTTAATCTTAGTGTAGACACTAATCAAAATCAAATATTAAAACAATCAACGATAATACCTTTACATTTATAGATTTATGTATTTTATTAATCGATGATTTCAAATGGAGTACTCTAGAGTTAACAAGGATACCCAAGTAGAGATGATGATGAACGGTTAAGAATAAACAATTTGTGAGAAGGACACATTAAATTTATAGAATTTTTAGACATGAAATGTTATATTTATTAAATTAGGACCAAAATGATATAATGTATAAGTTTTTAGGATTGAAATTGTTATTATAGCATGCCACTTAACTATTCCATTTCAATTTTAAGGACGGAGTGATCTATTTGTAATAATATTTTAATTGAGTGATTAAATTAAATGTTTTATAAAAATCATAACCTATTTATAAGCTATCTTATAATTGAGTTAGCTGAAATATAGTTTACCCACTTGATTATTTTCTGTCCCTTTCTGTTTAAAAAGGCCCGCTAATTAGGCCCCTAAAACCAAAGCAGAGAAAGAAAAAAGGGAAATGGCGATTCAAACCCGGTGTCTTCTTCTTGTTTGGATATTGGTTGGGTTATTATCAGTCGATAGCAGAGTCAGTGGTTCCTCACCTTCGCTCCATCGTAAAAGCTTTCCCGCTGTGTTCGTCTTTGGAACAGCATCATCAGCTTACCAGGTAAGGCAAGTTAGATCGATTTGATCTTTGAATGAATTTAAATTTGATTTTGGGGATCTGTTATGGTGAACAAATCAGTACGAAGGTGCAGCTAAAGAAGGAGGCAGAGGTCCAAGTGTATGGGATACTTTCACTCACAAGCATCCAGGTCCATCGTCTTTTAACTTTTTTTTTGTTTTTGAAATATGATTAAACGATTTGAGAGAAGCACTAATTTTTGTGTGACGATGGAGATTTTGCAGAAAAGGTAGCAGATGGAAGCAATGGAGACGTGGCAATTGATTCCTATCATCGCTATAAGGTATTCTCTATTTTCATTTTTACTTTCTTTACTCTGTCACTGTGGCCGTCATTACTGTTAGAGCTTAGAGGTGAATATTTGATGGAACCTAATCAAAAAATACGTTTAAAATATAAGAGAAATGGAAGAAATGAGAAAATCATATAAAATGGAGACTAAATTATAAAAAAAATTGTTTTTAGAAATAAGAATTCAAATATAAAATACAAGAGTGTGCAATTTTAATTTGATAAAAAAAACTTAAAATAAAGGTGAAACTAAAAAAAGCAAGAAAACTAAGACCAAAATATAAAATAATCAAATTACTTAGTTAATGATTAAACAATATAGTTTAGATTTTAATTTTTTAGTTATTCAACTTTATAAATTTAAATTCGTCTCAAATTTAAAAAATAATTTAAAATTTAAAATAATTCTAATGACTTAAACAACTCAAAATATAAAAAAAATTATCTTTTCTTAATTAAATCTAATTTTATTCACCCGCACCAATAGATTTTCGCAGTAAAAGAATTGTTTTTATTTCTTGAGAATCCAGGTTCGAACACCATGAATATCAAAGGTATAAACGTTCAATGCTAAAAAGGTTTAGAGTGTTCTTTAAACACATATTACCTTGTTTACCCCATATTAATCCAAAAAAAGTAATTTTTATTCACCCCTAACTATCACCGGTCATATTATTATTATTATCAGATAATACCATATTTAGATAATGTAATTTGATATAATTTATTAACGTAGTACCTATATTTTAAAAATGTCTAACATATTACTTGTACTTTAAAAATGATTAAGTGATACTTGTACTTCTAAAATATCTAATGTAATATTTTATGTACTTTAATAACATAGTTAGTATAAGAATTTTTTGAGTAAAGTCTCTCGTAAAAGATGTTATTCTTCCTAAAAAAAACTCATAGTTGAATAGCTGTGCCTACTGAATGTTTATGTATCGTCAATCACTAAAAGTATTTTAACTAAATATTACTTTACAATTTTCTTAAATTATTTTTAATAAATACCTAATATTAGATTATCAATATGAATATTTTTTCTTAAGTAAAGATATTACATTATGACAAATATCATAATTTTAATTCACATAAGATGAGATAACAGGAATATTATTGACCCATTAATAGATAAGTACTATTTTAACACATGTGGGTTTTTATTAACCTATTTGTCATTTATTAACCTAGGAAGAATAATACACACGTGTTTCACATGGCACTTGCTTTACAGGAAGATGTTGGGATTATGAGAGAAATGGGATTAGATGCATATAGATTCTCGATCTCATGGTCAAGAATTTTGCCAGGTAAGTTATATATATTAATTTATTTAACGAATTACTTTAATACTTATGTCAAATTTAATAATTTAATCGTTATATACCTTGAATTTTAAAAACATCGTATTTTATATATTTAATTTTAGATATACTTAATAGCTGAAATTTCTAACTCAATTGGATAATTATTAAATATTTTTATTTTCTCAAATTTTTTACATATATATAAATTAACTGAATAAACTATAAATATTAAATTTTATCACATTTATATTATGGATGAAATGAAATATTTTAAAATAGGTTCAGAGGTAAAATATATTTATATAAATGATATTAGATGTGAGATTCATCCTTAAATAAGTGATTTTTAATTACTTTATTTAATAACTAAATAAAAATATCATTTTAATAATTTCACAACTTAGTTTAATAATAGATTATATAAAAATAAAAGAAAAGTGTGTAAATTAAATAAGTTGTACGTTCAATTATCATGATAAATTTGATGTTTGCCTTTGCACCATCACTCTACTTTCGGCGGGGATATTCATCCCCCTTAAATTACTATGAACATTCAACGTTTGTGCGTTCACGTAGGGCCGAGTAAAACTCATCCCATTTGAAAATATTGAGAGAAAATAAAAGAATTTCAACTTAATCCAAAGTATAAATTAAACAACGATAGTCATAAGTATCACTATGAGAATAATTGTCAAGTATAGATGTTAAAACGTCCTAAACTTCAGTATTTTAAGATAAATTGTCAAGTTTGGGTCTTTCTAAAATATATGTTTTATTCTCAAGTCTTTAATTGACATATAATCTTAAATATAAATTCTGAACAAATCTTAATCTTTCTATACTCTAATATATTTATATCAAAATTAGAATAAATTTAGACAAGACTTACACATTTTGAGACATAAATCAAATTAAATTTAAAGAGATCGTCTATGATTTATGTAATATAAGACTCAAATCCGACATCTCAAAAAGATTACCTAACTTCCACTTTTTCATTAAACCAAGACAAAGGTCTCATTGATAAATCTTCGAAGTGTTATATGATGTTGTATTGTTGTGTATTTGTGGTTGCAGATGGAAAGGTAAGTGGGGGTGTGAACAAGGAAGGAGTTGCCTTTTATAACAATCTCATCAATGAGCTCTTAGCTAATGGTTTGAATTCATCTTAACTTTGTAGTTTGAATTAACATGATTTTAAACTTATTGTTGAAAATACTTTTAGGGTTCTTGCTAATTGGAATTATTGTGAAAAATACTTAGGTATACAGCCTTTTGTGACTCTCTTCCATTGGGATCTTCCTCAAGCCTTAGAGGATGAATATGGCGGTTTCTTAAGTCCCCGTATTGTGTAAGTAATTAGAACTTCACTCTTGTGAACCATAAGTTGTAATATATTTGTAGCACATTACACAGCAACTTTTATCGTGAAATTTGAAGAACTTTATCAAACGAAACTTTCATTTCAATTTCTGTTTATGTAATGTCAGGGATGACTTTCGAGATTATGCTGCTGTTTGCTTCAAGGAATTTGGCAACAGAGTAAAGTATTGGATCACATTGAATGAGCCATGGAGCTATACTACTAGTGGATATGCATCTGGGGTCGCACCACCAGGTCGTTGTTCCGATTGGCAAAACCGAAACTGCACCGGTGGCGATTCTGGGATCGAGCCATACTTGGTGGCTCACCATCTACTTCTTGCTCATGCGGTTTCTGTAAAACTCTATCGCCAAAAATATCAGGTGATGAAACATAAATGCCTCATTACCTAAGCTAGTTTCTCCATCCTTAGTTTAGTCGAGGCATAAAAATCATCATTCTTATAAAAAATGAAACGTTAAAACATTAAGGGTGAATTTTGATATTCTTCAAAACCTTCTAAAAAAGTGAATGTGAATCTTAACAGGCAACTCAAAAGGGTAAGATTGGGGTCTCATTAAATGCAGCCTGGTATGTTCCAGTTTCAAATGCAACACACCAGCAAAATGCTGCTTCAAGAGCCATGGACTTCATATTCGGATGGTTAGTTTTGTACTTATTAATTATAGTAATTCCAGTTCATCTTCATTTCAATATTTTATGGTGTTCTATTTTTGCAGGTTTATGGACCCAATGACCATCGGAAACTATCCACACACCATGCAATCTCTAGTCGGAAACCGTTTGCCTAAATTCAACAAAACACAAGCTGAGATCCTTAGAGGGTCATTTGATTTTCTTGGATTGAACTACTACACTACAAATTATGCAGCTGATACTCCTAAGCTTAATGTTGGGAAGCCAAGCTTCTTGACAGATGCTCGTACTACTATTTCATGTGAGTCATCGGTTCAAAATGCCAACCAAACTTAAGATTGACTTCCAAATCTATGATTAGCTCATTTACTAATGAAAGCATAATTTGTCACTATTGCAGCTGAGCATAATGGCATTCCTATTGGTCCTAAGGTGAGCAACCAATTATCTAGAATGTTTATAATCTCTTATCTAGAACGTTCATAATGGGATTCGATCGTAAACTTATCGAGTATTACCTCATAGTAGCTAAATGACTTAAAAGAGGAATACCATGTTTCTAAACCTTTTTCGATTTTCTTGAATTGAAATGGTGTAGACAGGTACAAGTTGGATCCGTATGTACCCAAGAGGAATTCGAAACATTTTACTTTACACTAAGAAAAAGTACAACAATCCCTTGATTTATATCACTGAAAATGGTATGTGCATACTCATATATATATATATATATATGTTCTTAAATGTGCTAAAATATACATTTTTGTTACAAATTTTAATTTGATTATGAAAATAAACATGTAGGGGTTGGTGATACCTATAAGAATACCTCATTGCCGTTAAAAGAAGCTCTTGTTGATAAAGGGAGGATCGAATACCTTCGTCGACATCTTTTGTCACTTCAAAGTGCAATTAAGTAAGGTTTTTTTTTTTTTTTACTAATTTGTTTCTTTGGTACAAAATATAATGTAATCAATTCTTATGATTTTTTTTTGTCTTGATGCTTAGGGATGGTGCGAATGTGAAAGGGTATTTTGCATGGTCGCTATTGGATAACTTTGAATGGGGAGATGGTTATACCGTAAGATTCGGCTTGAACTTTGTAGACTACAAAGATGGGTTGAAAAGATACCCAAAACTCTCGGCCAATTGGTTCAAAAATTTTCTCAAGAAACAAACATGATGATGTTTTCCCTTGCGGTTCTTAGATTTGTTACTAGGTGTGTTTTTCTTTGCCAATTGTTCTGTAACAGTTGCTATAAATTGTGTGTTATTTTTTTTGTGTATTTCCTGATTAGTGGTGGTGTACTTTATTTTCTGAGTTGTTGTTATGTATAAAGTGTTATGTGTTTATAAATCCATCACTAGTAATGTTTAAATTTGGATTAAATTTTTTATCTTATATATAATCTTTTAATTAATCAATTTGAATTCAAATATAATAAAATTTTGTTTTTGAATATTGAAAAATATATATGATATATATCAGTTTTTGTTATAAAATAAATAAAACGAAGCAATAATAGGAACAAGAAGAACAAGAGATATAAGAGTAAAATGGGAGAATTGTATTATTTCCTAAAATCGAGTTATGTACAATGTTTTCTCTGTACTCCATATTTATAAGCATAAAGAGTAGATATCATATATAACTCTAACTCTAATTGATAATAAAGTCCTAATAGTAAAGTATATAAAACTCTTATCCTATAGATAGAGATAAAAGATAGAGATAACCCTCCATATAAATAAATATTCATAACACTCCCCCTTGGATGTCTATGAAGATAATGTGTCTCGTTAAAACCTTACTAAGATAAAAACCCTATGGGAAAAAAATCTTAATGAAAGAAAAAAGTGTACACATATCTTTAATACGTATAATATGTTACCTCGTTAAAAAACTTACCAGGAAAATCAATGGGACAAAACTTGGTTAAGGAAAAAAGAACACAACACATATTTACTCCCCCTCATAATAATATCACATAAGATCTTTGAGTATTACAACTCAATCTTGAATACAATATTAAAATGTTGATTCGTCAAATATTTACATGATTTTTCTTCTTTCGAAGACCATGAGTGAGGAAACAAAAAAAAATGTTTACTTTGATGTGTCATCTTTTCAACTGATCTAATTTAAGAACACGATCTACAGGTCGAGAAAAACTTGATTTCAAGAATTTTTTATTTCAAATATTCTTTAAACAATCAAGATACTTTGAAACTCTTTAGGAATTATATTTTAAATTCCTTGAGGAGTTTCAATTCAAAGTATACAATTTCATAATTTGATATGTCTTTATAAAACATATGAGTAAGTAGGCTCTTATCGATTTAGATGTATTATATACACTAATAATGATCCATTCTATCTAAATATTTAAGGAAATGTATTTGTACAAATTTCCAAAAAATAAAAATCAAATGCTTCAGGCATTTCAATCCTTCAAGGTAAATATCATTATATATGTATCCACAAATCATTAAACGCGTCATAGAGTTTTACCATAACTGTCAGAGTAATAAAGTAATTATATCCACCACGAAGTAAAAATCTTCATGATTAAAGTTGTATTGTATATGTTACAACTATTCATTTATACTTTACTTGTATTACACCTTTAGATGTTTGGACTACTTGTCCCTGTTTTAGAAGTTGATTTAACTTCACTTTGAATAATTCCCATTTTGGCCAATTATTTTCCACATCTATACTCCAGGATAGATTTCAATTCAAGATCCTATTATTTATTTACTTCTATATAAATATTGTTTGTAAAATTATTGTCGACAACTTTTTTTTTTCTTCTATTCATTTCTCGTAATGACATAACTTATCGAGATCTCATTATTATTTCATTTTTCAGGTAGCTGAAACTCTTCTAAGTTGTATTATTAGTTATGTCTTGGGTCTCTTTAAGAGTATCTCCTCTCCTATATGGCCATCTTGTGATACTTTTTATTTACGAGAATTTTTTAACTTTCGGAACTAATTCAACTATCATGATTCGGGCATAGTTTATATTCTTTTGCTCTAACATGTTATCCTTTTAGGATTTCAATTCAAATTTAAAATATTTTCAGCTTGTATATGAGACTTGATTACTCTCATTAGGTCAGTAAATATTTTTTGTAGTTAACTTGTAATGAATTATCTTATGAACTTCTAGTTCAGATCACTATGTATGAGGATCTAAATAAAATGATAATTCATTTATATTTTCATTCAGATGATTCTTCTCTCCCCCTGATGAAAGAATAATTGAATCTCAAAATATTCAATAAAATGAGACTCATACTCAACATGTATTACGATGCCACACAAAACCACCAAATTGGTCAACCGAAAATTTATTTTCAAAATAGTTTATAACCATTGAAAACATCCATCATACCATATGCAGAATATAAATAAAGTTTACAAAATGTATACAAATACGTACAAATACAATCCACGAGTTTGAAAATCAAAATAGAATTATGACTAGAATACACAAGGTCCATATAGAATACATGCCCTCTACATATACTCGAGACATACTCTGATAATCGGCCATTTTAGAATGGACAGATGCGATAGGTTCCCTCAACGATCCTCTACTAACCTATGTACGAAAACGCATTCCATACGTTGAGCTCACAAGCTCAGTGTCACGAAAATAACTATGCAATACTATGCATTCATTACATGAACATGCTGAAATGCTAAGTCATATAAATGCAAAAGTACATAACAAACATGAGATAGGCCAAGTAGCTTGGTTGGAGGAATTTATATGCATCTCAGACAACATACTAACCTATCTAAAACGTGATACCTTCAAGGTAAGAATCAAAATTTACGTGCATAAGAACTTATGGCCCTTAGTCTACCTAGGATCCTCGAGAGGTCAGGGTGAGGTCTAGAATTTACATACATCGAAAGCTCACATCTCGTTCCTAGTCGAGCATAGTGTACGAATCTAGAATTTACGTGTATCAAAATTCGTACCATTATGACCTAGAATTTATGTGCATCGAATATGTACCAAACGAACAATATCCAAATATTCACAAACAAATAACGATCGTCGTAATGCTAGAGTGACTCGGGTGTACTAGTCGTTTCTCGAGCATCATACAAAGGCAAATCTTATATTGTCCTATCATGCTTTGTTTTGGGTGTACTAGTCATTTCTCGAGCATTTGCCCCAATATTTTAGCAAATTTGTTTTCATCCCTCGAAATGTAAAAAGATCTTAATTAATCTTTTAAAATTTTAAAATTTTTATTAAGTCTTTTTTTTATTAAATATCAAAAGTTTTGAAAATTTTCATTAATCCTTATAATATTTTTAAGATTGACCATCAATTTTTTTTTTAAAAATAATTAAATGCTTTAATTTTTGTTTTAAAAAATCAATTAAATCTTCAAAGTTTTTATAAATTGTAATTTAACCCAAAATTAGTTTTCCAGCATCCGTTCTTCACTGCTTGTAAAAGAAACTGAAAAGGCCGAAAGAGTACGTGAAAGGAAAGTTTAAAGGGTAAGAAAAGGCATTTTGTGACATTAATGTAAAAAGGGTAAAAAGGGTTGGACGACAATATGCTGTTGGTACCAAACTAACGGGAATAAATAAGGGTTACGATATCAGCCAATCTTAGCCACTATTTTTTCGATTCCATATAGGGATTGCAATGGGTTGGATTAAGATTGAATTTTTGGTCAATCATACTATACTCGAAAATATATATCTTCTACCCGAATTTGATTCGATCCGAAAATTTTATATCTTTCACTTGACCTGACCAAAAATTATATATCCTTCACTCGATTTCGATTCGACTTGATTTTTTGAAGTATAAATCCGACTTGACCCGATATAAAATAAATATTTAATTAAAAATAATATTTTTAAGGAAATTATATTATTATCCTCAGGCCATGTCGAGTTGGGTCAAATTTTTTTCATCCTCCACCCGCACTCAGCCCGACTTAACCTCGCCTCTTAAAAAATCTAACCCGATTAGACTCGAACCTCAAAATTTTTTAAAAAATCCAACCCATCAAATCAAACCAGATCAAAACCCGTCGAAATCGGATTAAATTACAATCCCTAATTTCATCACCACTCTTTATGTGAATGCAAAATGGTAACAATTAGGATAAATTATATGTATAGTCACTAAATTATAAGGATAATTATATTTTGATCATTGAACTAAAAGTTTTATGGATCAAATCATTTAACTATTTAAATAGTAAAACTTTAACGTTATAATTAAGTAAGTTTATATAATTATATATTTAATCATTATTATTTACATTTTATTAACTTAATCTTAATATCAATTTAATTCAATAAATAAATTATTCAATCAAATAACAATATTATTTAATTAAAAAAATAGAAAAATAAATGGAAAAGAGGGGCAAGAGGGATACAAGGTAGTTTTTATCACAAGATAACGGCACAAATGTCCTTTTGGTCACTTCTATTTTTCGTAACGTGTCAATTCATCATTTGATTGAATGATTCAATAATCTATTTTTTAAAAATTAATTACTCTTAAAATATATTATGCTTTTTCATAAACAAATTTAATTAACGTCATCGTATTAAATAATAACTCAAAACTTTATTCGAACTATATATCTAACTTTTTGGTCAAACGATTCAATGCAACAACAAGGCCATGCAAACCCTCTAATTAGTTTTCACGTCAATATAAATAAGGTTGAGCAAATGCCACGTATTATTGCTTCCCGCTTTGTACAAAATTCAATACATCATTGATGATTCCTTCCACGCAAAAACCCAATTTCATTTATGACACAGATTGGACTTGTTCCTCATTTATTTCCGATGAAAAATGAAAACCATGCAATAAAATAGGCTCAAAAAGCAAATGGTAATTATACCTAAAAGATCATCATTACAACATAAATATCACTTGTTACTACGCTGCTGAATCGGTTTCTACAATAATTTTACCTTGTTTTTTTTACCTATCATCACCTACTATTGTTGCTGCTGGTGCCTGGAACCACACGAACACCTTGCACGATTCTCCGAGAGTGTCTGAAAAAAACAAGATGAATGAATCGAAATGGCAAAAATAAAAAGGATTTTCAACAATAAAACAAGTACAATTTCTGGGTAGATGCCACTATAAGCATACCTCCACCTGTTTTCGGAGGTCTTTGATATAATCAACAGCCAAATCTAACATGTCGGATGTGTTTGTTTGCTTCAAGCATGGAAAGAAAACGTCAGTTTTTTTCCCCCTAAATAATTTCATATCCAAATCGAGATTTTTTACCTTATCCATGTTTGGAACAAGGTCTTGAAGCTTCCTCATGCGTTCGCTTATTTTGGTCCTTCTTACCTGAATGAAAACAAGCTTAAATATTGATCAAAGATTGTCTATTTTCGATTTTAATAATCGGTATTCGATTCATTGATAACGAGAACAGAAGATGAAAAAGTTACCCTCTCAGCGATGCTTCTAGGGTGAGTGGCACACCCTCTCTTGGCCCGGATCTTGCACGGAACCGAATCCTGATACTGCAATAGCTTCTCGATGGCAGACATGTCCGGCGAACTCTTCGGTAAACTCAAATGATGAGCCAAAAGTTGGGGTGGATGGTTTTCGGCCACCATCGTGTTCTGTTAGAGTATACGTTGTTAGCTCACATATAACTAATGAATGCTGCATTGTGTATTAAATGTGTTTGCTACCTGAGTTTCTGCTCCGTCGAAGTCTAAGCCGGAACTATCGCCTTCGTTGAGTCTTTTTACACCGGAAATGTTATCGGAAATCATCATCGAGTCGTCCCAAGAAGAACCCGGAAACCCCGACGAATAAATGTTATCGGAGCTAGGTTTCGGACTCGTTAGCCTAGATGGAGGCTGCCTGCTTGCCGAGTGAAATGCAGCTGCTTTGTTACCGCTATTGATACTTCCATAATCTCCCATTCCTCTCATCACACCATAGACTACAATTTTAAAAGATTTTGAGCGCCAAAAATTACCACTGAAAGCTAATAATCATAATCATTTATATTCTAAAATGAAGATCCGTATGAACTGCCATGAAAAAAAAAACTTACTATTTTCAATGTTTATATTTGATAATAACCCTGCAGGGGAGCTGCTATGTCGAATAAGAATCGAATTATTGCCATTTCCCATCTTCATCTCTTTTGGCCACGCCATCTCCGTCGAGCTCTGAACCCGGTAATCCATGGTTGAATTTGGTTGCTGATTTGACAAATGCTGTTGAGGTTGGCTTTGAGAAAAATTCTGTGGAACAAAGTAGTTCATTTGTGTCATTATCTGCGTTTGCGGCTCTATTTTTACTGTCGTTCCTCTAAGGGGTGAGTTTGGCGTTATCGAGCCCAGATTCTGGTCAGAAATGTTCTCCGAATTATCCCCGCCACCGCCACCGGCATCGTCGCTGTTCGATAGTAACCGGGCGATAATTCGTTCTGTTTCGGGACTCGACGGCCGGTTTAGAATCTCTTGACAGAAATCTCTGTCCAAGATGTTGGAAAAATACGAACTGGGTGCAGATTGATACCTTGTCAAGCCAGTGTTCATCTGTTTTTGATGCTGTTGAGGTTGAAGTTCTGACTCCATTCCCCTTCTCCAACACTAAAAATCAGATCAGTATCGAATAATCGAAGTGCCTAGGAGGACCCACTATGAAACCAAACTCTCCGTTTGTTTCCCAAGAAAGCAGCTTCAGTAAAACAATATTTTCTCGGAAAGCTTCATCAAATTTAACAAAGCGATGACCCAGAAAACACGAGCCGCTTTCACGTGGATCTATCTCAAGAGCTTCAAAGTGAGAATCCCAATAATTAGGTGGCCTGAAACTCAAGTTCAATCACTGCCTGCAACCAAACATCTCCAAAAACAGAGGAACCTGGAAAAGGAGCTCCCCAGAGTTCTTCGCCACAAAACAGCACTTACAATCAAATCAGAAAGAAACCCAATTTTGTATTCTGGAAAACTGAAGCACTAAGCTGAAGAAGATAACACTAATTAGAGAAAAATAATAATAAAAGTGAGCCACACAATGAAAAGAACACAAATTTCAAGAGAACAAGGAAAAAAAATCCTTCAAACACCACGTGTTTCCACCGTTAAATAAATTTATCCTCAATCTTATTAAAAATAAATATAATAATATAGAAAGAGTAAAGATCAATCCACATAAACTAAATAAGAAGATGAAACGATTGTTCTTATCTATGATTTAGGCAAAAAAAAATACAAATAAAAAGAGAATTTGTTCAGAAATTGAATAAGCAAATAATGATTCAAAGGAAGATAAAGAATTAAAGAAAATAAAATTAAAAACCAATATGATGAAATTAGCTTCACACTTTCGCGTGCCTCAAATTTTAATTAATCATTGAATAAGATTTTTCCTCCAATTAAATACCGATTTGATACAATGTTCAATATTTGTATCTCATTTTCCTCTTTAGTAATTGACTTTCCTAAATCTATTTTAGGATCCCCTAAATCTTTGTAGCTCATTTCCCTCTTTCGCAATTCTTGTTCGGATTAACTTCGAATATCGTTGTAAATTCAAAACAATTTAAAAGCGTTTGGAAAAACTCGACTCGAATTATGCTTTCTCTATGAAAGTCGAACTCGATCCCAATTTTCCTTAGCATACCATTCGCTAAGTGTGTTCAAGAGAATTCGAATAAATTGATTCTATAATCTCAACGCTAAAACATAACGTCATCCAAGCCAAAATCTATATTTGAAGTGAAAGCGTTTTGATTTTAAGAAAGACTATCTGTCAATTTAGTTTCTAGAAAATTGAGAACTTAACTCGATAGGATATGAGGTGTTTTTCGATTCTCACGATTCAGAATCGAGTTATCGTTTTAGCCTTTGATTATGAAAAACTTAGCTAAGTATAATAGAAATCGTATTTAACATTTTTTAAAAAGAAAACTTTTAAAGAAGAATAAAAGAAAAAGTAAAACTTTATAAAATTAAAGAGAGAATTCAAGAGTAAATGATCTCAATGTTAATACCAATGGGTATTTTTAATCCTCCAAAATCCTAAAAGATACATTTAAAATTAAAAAGATAATTCCTAAAATAAAAATAAAATAAATCCTAATTTGAATTTAAAAATTCAGTCGAGTCTTTGGTCTTCATACAACTACTGGTTGAACCTTCTAGAAGCTGTTGACTGGATGCCACAACAACGAAATCATGCCCACTAATCCAATCATAATTCCAGAAAATAAAAAATTGCATAATTTTATTAGTTTTAGCATCGTTTCTGAAATCTACTACTTTGCATTAAAAATGAATGAAAAGATCTAAATTAACAACTTAAAATAGTTAATCAAGAGTAATTAATCACAAAATAATGTGTAATTTTAGCACTAATCTCCTCCCTGCCTCTATGTCTCTCCACTTTCTCTTTATTTACTCGGATTTTGTATGATTGATTAATATAGTGTTGTTGACCATTATAGCTTTTGTTATTGTAAATGATTTACAAAATTCGAAGACGGTGGAATTGCTGGGTTGCCATTTTTTTCACTATTTCGAGCTCATTTAATGGGGATAAACCCAGTCCAGAGGAACATATATGTGTACTATTTTAGAAGGAAGTCATGAATTTTGTGACTAGAATGAGATGCCCCCACCAATAAAATGGCTTTTTGTCATCGTTGGACCACATTTTCAATTTTTATTTTATTTTGTATAATCACATATATCTAATATATTAACCGTTTAATTCAGATCGTGTACTGCAGAGACCAAACACGAGACAATCCTTCTAACCCTGTTTATTCAATTCATAAGCATCAAAATTATTAATTATTATTTTTATATCAAATTTAAATTAGGTTTAACCCTCAAATTTTTAATAAAAATAATTTAACACTTAAATAGATTCACTTTTTTTTAAAATCTGCTGATGAACTAGCCTTGTATTCAAAAAAATTATTATAATGATATCAATTGAATTAAAATTTGGTTAATAAAATTTATTTGGATAATGACTAGAGCATAACATATGTTGGAATTGGAATTTCATTCAATTTGAACAAAAACCACAATTCTTATTATCAGGAAGAATTAGGAATGTGAGACGGTTTATATGAAACAAATTATTAATTTATAAAATATTATGTTAATTATAATACTTTAAACAAAAAATTAATAAGTTACAAACATAGTACTTTCTCTAAATTAAGTTCTGATAATTTTTGTAAAGTATTTCATGAATTGATGCAGAATATGAACTAACGTTTTTCTCTAAGCTAAGTTGTTACGTCAAATATGAAATGGAGATACTTATTTGAAAAATGTTTTGAACTTCGGATACCGATTTGTAGAATTGTCCATTAAAATAAATTCCTCAGCAGTAGATGATTACTTGGGAGACAATTAAACGATTAGATCCAGACAAGATACGAAATACCTGAGTATGTCAGGAAGATATTGAGATATATTGAAGAACTAAATGAAATTAAAATAACACGGAATTCAAAGCGAACCTCACGGTGAGCTGTCCCCTTAATACCATTTTTTTAAAAAAGCAGTATTTATAAAATAGGAAATAAAAATAATATTTTGCACAATCTTTAAACTTTTTTAAAATTAAATAAAATCAAAATATTTGACTTTGATCTTCCACGGGGACCACAGGAGCCACGCGGCCATTTATATATGGAGGACTAGGGATTAATTTATTTAAGGCAAAATGGTACTTGAGGTCCTCGTATTTTTCAAAAAAATTAATGTGGCCCTCCAATTTTTTTTGCACCTAATGTGACCCTCTAAATAAATAAAAACTAAATGTGGTCTTTTGACTAACGGCTCCGTTATTTTGTGTTGATGTAGCACGTTAAACAGGCCAACATCTTATTTTTCCTTTCAATGTGGCCCTCCAACTCAAGAAAATAACTCAATGTGACCCTTTGACCATATGTTTAATGTTGTTATAAATAAAAAAAATTATACCACTCATCACTCAACTATCTACTATATTCTATTTCGTCACTAAACTTTAAAAACTCTTTAAGAACTCTTTACAATCCAAGTTTTCATCTTCTTGTTAATAGCCATAGTCTTAGCTCATTTCCTCATGTTTTTTATTCAAAGTTTGGTCCATGAAATCTTGAATCACTTGAAAACAATCACAATATTCTCATTTTTTTATCGTGTTCTCGACAACCCTTTACTTTAAAACCCGTTCTGCAAAAGTTTATTTGTTGGACTTTGCATGTTATAAGCCCCAAACAGATCAAATCTGCAACAAAGAACACGGGCTGCAGCCATGGAAACCCGAGCATATAAACGTCGACGCTGGAAAACGTTGAATATCACTACAAGTGACGAGGTCGTTTTTCACGTCAAAATAGATTCCTTCTTCTCAAAAAATAAAGAAAATTAAATATAATATAGGAGAAGTAAGAGTCAATTCCACAAAGACTAAGGAGGTAGATGAAATTCTTTGTTCTTTACTTTGGACCTTGGCGTGAATCGGAAAGAAATAAGTGGAGGTTTTTGTAGTTGAAGAAAAACAAGTAAAATTGAAAGAGAGGTTGTAAAGAAAATCCAGAGGAAGATTGATTTAAAGAAAATAAGGAAAATGGATTAAGGAAAGTAAAAACTAATTTAAAAAAAATGATTAAATCAGCCTTAGGCATCAGCTCTTACTCAACTTCTTCGGATCATCGAACGAGATTTACTCTTCCGGATTCACGTCGGTTACTTTATCTATAAAGACAAATCATTGTGACTAGCTTTGTATTACCCAAGCACAATTCTTTGATCTTGGCGTTGGAAGTTGGTCTAGGCAACAACAATGTTATAAACCAAAATCATTTAAGTGCATAAAAACTGACTCAGATGGTTGTTTCAATTAAAACCGTTTCCGGCCTCAATCCCCTGTTTAGCAACAATTTGTTAATTATGTTCCCAAGAAATCGAATTTGCTATCAATTAGTCGGTCCTTCCTCCCACATGTTTAATTGCAACAACATTCCGACCATCGACTATATTTGGTTTTGAAAATTGTTTTGATTTGAAATAAGCGTCGAGAAATGAGGAATGTATCCGAAGTTATTTTAGTGCTATTCAATTCTCACGTTAGAATTGAATCATCGCTTTTTCCCTCGGCTTAGAAGAAAATTAGCTAAGAATGACAAGGTCATACTTAGCATTTTTTAAAAAATGAAAACTTAAAAGAAATGAACAAAGTAAAATGGAAGAAATTTTATAAAAAGAAAGAAGAAAAACAAAGAACAAAGAACAAGGAAGAAATGTTTTCGATAATTCTGAATGATGAAATAGGCTTATTCTAAGAGGGTATTTATAGCCTTCTAAAACCTTAAATTGTGCTAAAAATTACAAATGATAAATCCTAAAAATAGTTTGAATTAAATCCAAAAAATAAGTCTAAAACCTTGAATTTTAAATTGCTTGAAATGCTCCAGCCATCCATCCACCTTATAAAATTGTTGACTGGACGCTCCTCACTCACTGCCACATCAACATTTCATGCCTATTGTTCCGGTCTTGACTCCAAAATAAAAAGTGCAGTTTTGAGGTCTTTTAAGCATATTTTCCAGCAATGACCGTCTTGCACAAAAAGCATACAAAATCGTCCAATTCAGGAGCA